TCTCTCTCTCTCTCTCTCTCTCCCTCTGACAAAGTTTTGTTTCCAAACTTGAATTTAGGATGGGCGATCGCTGCTCGCGAGAGAGACTGGAAGTATCGATTGTCGATATATTACGCGAAAGTACAAGATTCGGGGATTTACACGTGTTCCACGCCTCGTGGATTATCCAACTCCATACGTGTGCACGTCGTGGGTAAGTTGGTTGGTCTTCTTTCTACGAAGAAAAAAAACACTAATAACACGTTACGATCGATGTACGCGTCTACGTGGAGAGAATACGGGAGATGGTTGTCGTCGTTGCAGACGTTCAATGTCCCGTTTTGAATCTGCCGCAACCACCGTTGATCGGCAAGATCGAAGGCGCGCGTATGGGTCACGGAGCAACGTTCGAATGCCCTGTTGGATTTAAACTGGAAGGCGCGGCTGGTATAACGTGTCAGTACAACGGTAAGAAATTACGTACAACGTACGTACGTGCATGGTAGAATGGTCGGGAGAGGGAGCGGCGGCGGCGGCGGCGGCGGCGGCGGCGGGGGTACCATTCGACGAATCGGCGATGATTCATCGGGAAATTCGTTTCACTTTCAGGTAAATGGTCGGGCGAAATGCCGAAATGCGCAACGATCGAATGCCCGGCTATAGACGCGATCGGTTACACGCAGTTGCAACTTCTCGAGTACAACAACACGTTCGGAGGCAGAGCGGTATTTGCTTGCATGTGGGGTCATCGATTGTCAGGATCGCCAAACGTAGAGTGTCGAGGCGATGGCTCGTGGAGCGGCAGTGTGCCCAGTTGCCTAGGTATTGCGATTGATCGTAATTTTTGCTTTCGTTTGCAAACGGAACGACAGTGACGACGACGGTGCGATACGATTCGATTTGTCCAGAGATCATCTGTCCTACTCCGTCGATACCGAAGAGCGGTCGTATCGTCGAACGAGCGAATCGTCGCGAATCCTCGGCGAGGAAACAGCATCGAACGCGCGTGTACAAAGTAGGCGCGCTCGTTAGGTTTGCTTGCTTACCTGGTCATCAGTTGTTGGGTGAGGCTTCGGTAATATGCACGGAGAACGGAACGTGGTCTCACCCGCCACCGGTTTGTAAGTTTTTCCAGGGCCAAGTTTTTCAGGTCGAACGAGTCGAATTTCCATCCGCCTTACCGACGATTCTCTCTCACGTTTCCAGGTAAAGTGAGATGTCCTTACCCGGGTGATCCGCCTCACGGACGAATCGCGCCTCTTAAATTTTGGTACAAACCGGGTGACAATATACAGGTGACGAATTTCATTTTCTTTGCCAATTTTTCTCTTACGCGTGCGTCTGTCAATTTTATCGCGTACAAGTTTTACATACATATACACGTGTATACACGTCGCGAATGTTTCGTTTCACAGCTGTTCCGTTTAACAGCAGTTGACTTGACGTCGCTCGATTACAGGTAACTTGTTCGCCAGGATACGTAACGCCGTTGGAACCTGCGAGGAAGCCAACTTGCCGAGAAAATGGAATATGGAGTGCACCACCACCCCCTTGTAGGTCGTACAAAGATGTTTAGAGAGGAAAAGAATCGTTCGAAGAAGGTCTCATCGACGACACGAGCGTATCGTGTCGCGTTACGTTACTCTGGTAAGACGAGTAAGACGCGTATCAAGTACGAGTATGTACGAGGCACGATCAAACACCAATGCCAATTCCACGATATCGACAAACTACGCGACGATCCAAACGACGATTCCATTGGTAAACGTGTGCGATTTAGATGCCTGATTGATCGAAGAACGCTAAACGACACATATCATCGACAGCTACACGATCGAATTTGTACGTATTTGAAACGATCGATCGCCTAACCGATCGTTCTCGATTCCCCATTTCGTAGACGTTAATGTGTTACACGCTGACGTCGCAACATTTGACGCGACGTACAAACTTATCGTCGGATCCTCCACCTCGTGCTTCGTCACGATACATGTATATAATTTATGCATGAATGCGACTGCATAAATTTTTTACCAACAGAGTGTCATTGCGATACAGATTGCAAAATTGGGAAAACAAGAGCAGCAACGATTAGTCGTTTAAAAGCAAGTTTAGTG